TATCATGCATGAGTTTTCTAACTAACGTCACATTATTAGATTTCATTTTTGTGTACAGATTCCATCGTCTACAAGTGAAATGACTAATCCTGACTCTTAATTTGCTTAAAACACACAACTGTAAACCAAGTACCTACCTGTAATGGTATTCTCACTATAGATATTCCTCTGAATTGCTCCATATTCCCTATCACTTTTTAGGCTAAATCAAAAGAGAATATGATGAATAGATTATATTGGCGAAATCTAGAAGGTATGCTCCGTCCCATTCGGGACTGTATGTACCTTTCACAGTAAAACTTGAACTAAATACCTTTCGCCTTAAACACCGTTGTTATCTCCTCGACTATCGAGTCCCAATCGTCAATAATTTATCTTGAATTCGATCCCTGGTAGATCGTGTGAGCACTACTGAGGAGTCCCATTTAGAACAAAACACCTACCAAATAGTTGCCCAACTAAGGTAAATTAATCATTTAAACTTTATAAATACCCATTTTGTGACATGTCGTGAGTCCATGAAAAACTGTGATAAATGATAACAGCCACATGTGGTGATTTGGAATGGTTTTTCTACACAGATAAATCTACGAAATCCATTGAAAATTAGAAGCAAACGCTTGACATTTAGTTGTTACATTACGACCTACTAACAAATCAATAAGTAGATTGCACCTTACTAGACAATTGTATTATTCGAAAAATCACAACCTAATTCCCTATGACTATCCATTTGTTAGTCAACGGTATATACTAAATTAAAGCCGAATAAAAGAATGTCTACGACTCAAGTACATAATGAGATCTGTTTCGACAAAATTATATTACTATTTAAAAATCTCCTGTTATGTAATACTTAATTGGTGCTGCTTGTACACACAATTGAAAGTCATATAACTATTATGATTATAAAGACGTATGGTATTTGTTTTTCGACCAAGTAAACAAAAGGAATAATGTGTATTCCCGAATTATTTACTCCCAGAGTAATTTCCGTACAGTATGTTGTTGTAATTTATACCATAAGTGTTAGTTAACAAACTGTTGACGTTATACATAGAACTAGACACAACGTTTAAATCATATTGATGGCAATAGATCTGTGGTCTGTAAATCCGTAACTCACACGTTTGGGTTCATTCTATGGTGTATAACTGCTGCATATTAGGCCAAAATGATGCCTATAGGCCGCGCGATAATTTATTTCGAGAGCTGATTGTAATCCTAACAATATTGGTCACTATTAAAATAAAATATGCATTGTACTATCCTTTCTTCTATGCTAGTCAGTTAACGAAGATTCAAAATGCATTCAAATCGTCCATTCTCCATTATTCGTTCAGTCGAATGTTAATTAAAACCCTGCTATTACATCTGTAATTATAACAGTGCCATTTCGAAATCAGACAAAGGTATTGTAACTGTGATTTACAATTGGTTGACCAGAAGTGAAGTCTAAAATGTAGTTCGGCAAATGTCTTCGTCGAAAATCAAGGTCCTCCCTATTAGCGCAAATTACTTTGCATCTCACTCTTCAGTTTGCTACATATTCTAGTGGGGGAAATGAAACAGATTATAATCGAGATAGAATCTCGTAGCCCCACTATGCACAATCGACACATGTTGATGCAGTAATTAGTTGATTTCTAGAGAAAATCAAATCATCCAACTTTATTAATGAAGTTTTGGCATCAGCTTTGACTTGGGTTTGCTTTTTGTGGTGTCCTAACCAAGGTATGTTAGCTGAAGTACATGTGTCTCTAGGTCATACCATTTTAATTATATGAACCGAAGAGCAGATTGCTAAAATTAGACTAAATACAAGAAAATTTATTGATAACATTGATTTCTTCTAGCCCTAAAAAAATCTACTTTCCGATTTACTTTGAAGAGAAATTAAATAATCCACTGACATTTGATTTTAAAAAATTATGATGATCGGGAAGCGTTCCTTAGCTCGTAGTGATCTTTATTTATTTATTTAAACACATAAATATTGATACGAAGAGGCACCAGATATATATGCGCCACACAAATCTCATTTCATTTGTGTGAGGGTTGTGATACTGCCTAGGTACCCAAACTAAAACAGGTGGTTTTCTTAAGGGGCCACATCCCGAGCCTTCGACCTAAAGATCTGATCCACAAGGCAGTGGAGCATCGTAAGGAGATGCAGTCCCATGATAGCCGGCGACCAACAATTGATTCATACGCCATTTGTTTCCGCAGGATACTGGAGCCCATGTGCACCATTGGTTTGAATAAAAAGGATTTTCCAACTCCTCTGGGTGAATTTTCCGTGTTCACCAACCCGGTTAAAGCGCTGGACATTAGCTTTTCGTTCTCTCAATTTCGTAACCAACACCTTCGCCACGGGAAGGCAGTGAGTAGGACTTCCCTGGCAGAGACTATACATGCGCGGCCATGTGAGAGTATTTCGAGAGGAAGAGCGGACTCTCCCCACTCTCGGCCATACCAGGGCATTTGAGGGCCCGTAGTGACCTACTTTTGTGACGAGAACGCGATTGGTATAATGTAAACGATTATTATTATAACCAATTGTACCAGTGATCGCTTTACTGTACATGCTTGTTTAAGTGTACCAAGACACTTTATCCGTTGCCTGTGACCTGGCACGTAATCTTCCTGTGGTTGTGATCATAATTAATCGCGAATCGACGCCCCCTACAGACTTTTCTGACATTCTGTATATCACAACCAGCATTTATTGGAGGCTTTTAAGAACTGAACTCAGACACCATTGAAGTCGATTTGGCTACTACTAACTAGCACCTAGAACTTTTAAAACAGCGATTTCGTAGGTTAGGTGAAGTATAGTCCATATCCCCTTAGAGGAAAGCGCTAAATAAAAACCTTACGAGTGCGGTATACCATATAGATACTTATATCTGGTTAGATTTCATAGCCTGTGATAATAAAATGGATAATACGTTAGGTTTGCAAATGAAGTCTTTCACATAGCTAAGCACTAAGATGACTTATTTCAAACCAAATGAGAATTTTCTTTGTTTGTTTAAATACCACTAAGTATCAGCCACTTTAGAACACTTCTAAGGTAAACAAAGAACGTCCCAGTAACACAGTAGAGGTGATATGGTTGGAATGCTTATCGAGTTTTAAAACTCAATAATGCAAAATACCGTTAAATTCGCAACATAATCCAAACTTTGTTAAAGATTGTCACAAAGTATTTACACTTTTTGCCTGTTCGATTATGCAGTTACTAGGATTTCTTATAGAACTATGAGAAATCCACCTTTCAGTCAGTCATACCCAGCGTAGAACCTGGCACATAAGCATTGGTTCAAGCTGTCATACCACATTAGCACAGTGAGATAAGTCCTATGGTAGTAGATATAATAACAGTACCAGTTGTAGTAGGAAAGATTAGGTATGGGGGAAAGAAATAAATTGTGATTTGGGACTCAGAACCTGAAGGGTGACAAACAGTGAATGTATTAGCCCCGCTGAGACCAATTCTAATCTATATCATCTAAGGTTTCCAAGCAATGGTTACGGCAATCACAACGACCGCAGTCAAGTTGTTTCAACATAGGTTAAGTGAAGTGATCGATACACTCAACTATTTAACTCCCTACCGTTATTTCAGATACCGATGCAGGTCAGTCCTGACTTTTAAATTATTCACTAACTGTCATTTACGTCGGGAAGCGTGTATCAAAAATCAGGGTAATAACTCAAGCAAGGTCGATAGAGGCAGCGCTATTATTGTCTCCTATAAGTCCTTAAGGAAATATTAATACGTGATGATAAAAAATGAAGTCCGTGTTTCTGTTACTTGCAACGAATAAAGAAATGTGTCACTAAGGTAAACATTTGAGCTGTTTAATACGACTATATCCCACATAAGAGGGTGATTGCTAAAACACTTAATCCACTTATAAGTAAAATGACATGTGACGGGTGCGTTTTGGTTCATGTTGTCAATTCTTAGAACAAAACAGTGAGAAAAGTAATTTACGTGAGAATCAAAGAAAATAATTATATCCATTGCTGCAGAAAGCCGAGGAATATAACTCCAATTCTAAAGAGAGCGAAAAGCATGGAATAAATTCAAGATGTACAGTTAAGTGAGAAACAAAAACAACTGCAACTAATTTCGGGTTGTGATATGATTTTTAAAATTAATTACAACTATTGGGCCGGCCTCAACCAAGTAACTCGCTCCTTCTGACAGGCTTTAGACTAACAGTCAGTGGCCTGATGAACTATCGGTATTTGTTTAGCCGCTCTTAGCTTTATTCCAACAAACTCGCAGTATGCGACAAAGGTTTACAGTCACGCCAGTCAACATCTTTTCCAATGAAGCCCTTTTTTGAATCAGAGATCTGTCTAATACACGTTTTGTGCGAGGTGTCGTTCACTATTGAAATAGGTTTTCTGTGGTTAACAGAAAGACATATAAACCACTTGTTACAAAAACCAGCTGAAAAATCACCAAACATGACTCTGGAATGGTGATCTTAAATATATACGGAGAACATTGACGAGTACGAGTAATCCTATAAACGTAAATGCTATTGCCATGAAAAAATAGACAGAACCCAGTAATTTAATGAGATAATTCAATCCGAATGATTACTTATAAAATAACTGGCCGAATGGTTATTCAACAATTATTTTAGCAGTTGAGCTACATCGCTGATCTATATAAAATTGTTGGCTGAATCTATCCTACAATTTTCAAATACTAACACAAACTAATAACGAAACTGAGTTTATGTATTAGTAGTGAGATTGTTGGGATGTAGGTGAAGGATGATTAAAACTGAGAGAATACACAGGAAGATGACGCTTAACATGAGTAAACTTTTGGCAGATTTACCTCTAATGAAATGATTAAGACGCGACCCAACATACTAGCTAAAAAAGAACTCTGATAGTTTTTCATATATTTGACATCCCATCAAGCAAAAAACAATTGTCAGAGGTTGTAGTTTGATAGAATACATAGTAAACTATGACTCAGGACGTTCCGGAGGAGGACCACATGGCTGAAGCATTTTCTCGAGAAGGTTAAATCGAACTCTCGCCTTGCATTCATTTTCGCAGATAGCAAACAAGTTAAGCATGTCAAAGTGACCCAGATAGGATGCGCAACTATCTCTATGTTGATTTGTTAACCATTCCCACTTAGTGGTATCAGCATGGCCTGTGCCTAATAGGATAAGAATACTAATGGCACGAGAATGTGGCTTACCAACATATTTTGATTGTAAATGTTCTAACTGGGTATGAATATTGTATCGATCACCCATCTCCAGAGGTATATTACTTAACCTAGAGCTTAAAAACAAGGGAATCAAGAGGAACGCATACACTTGGGCATGGCGGGAAGTATTGCTTTATTGAACAAAATGGACCTTTTAACTGGGATCAGAGTTTGGGTAGTAGGAGAAAGTTTTTGGCTACGGAAATGTATAATTATCTTTATATTCCATCCGGAACTTGATGAACATAAAAGAAATCAGTTTATAGTGAAAGTAGACATGAAGTGAAACTTAGATTGGTCAAACTTGGTACCTGTGGAACCAGTATTCTTTTAAAACTCCTAAGGAAGCTCTATTACCGTTATTTCTGGCGAAAAGTATCACGAGTTGGTGATTCTAGCCAAGAAAATGTTCTATGTTCTATTTCCAGAGAATGTCCTCTAAAGTCCGATTTTTTTTACCATAGCACGTTCCAGCTCTGTTATGGCTATTACCGAAACAATACATTATGATCTTATCCTCTTATTCTTTTTTTAATACACAGGTTGCAAATCCAGGGCTTGCAGGATAGCTGAACGGAATTTATTTATGAGTTCATGTACCTTTCAATGAAATCTTTTTTTGACTACGTCTCAGGAGAACGGTTTCCATCCAAAAATGCGTGGATGTAATGTAGAATTTCTGAATTAGACTTCAGGTAAACAGTGAAAATGGTATAAAATAATTTTGAACTTGGACTACTGAATTTCCTAGAAAGAGATCCCAAGAGTGAATTAGCTATATTGGTTACGGAATGCCAACGGAAAATAGTGTGATGTTTGAATGAACATATAATTCCTTTGTATTGATGACTGTTTCGATTTTGAATTCCAAATACAGTACATTCTTTCATGCCCATCTAATACTTCTTGATTAAATTGCGTTATTGCTGGGATTACTAGTTCATACTACAATTCAAATACTCTTGAATATCACATTGGAGTAGCGATGGAGCCTGTGATGGAACGGTTGGACATACATTCAGGTTTTAATGCTTTTGAGGATTACATGGAGAGGTTTGAAATCTGGGCTATGACCAAGGATGATATTGAGGATTTCAGTATTTTGGCTAATTTCCTTACGTTCATCGGGAAAGAAGCATACATCTCGATAAAGGCTTTGGCACTTCCGGACAAGCCTATTTCACTCCCTTATGCAACTATCAAGGAACTACTGTTGGACCATGTGAAGCAAAGAAATTTCGAATGCCGTAAAGGAGAAAAATTTCATAAAAGGATTTGTCAGGACATCATTAACTCAACTACTTCACTAAGTCGTTGCAGTCCAGTATGTAATCAAGGTTATTCAGATAACAATTCGTTGGAGAGTTGTTAAACAGCTCACGAAGATGAGCACAAGTTTGGTAAATCCTTGTCCTGTGACAAGTTCCACCAATGTAATTCATGTGTATTTCGTAATTCCGTATTCTTTGAATGTGGTAAAACTGGACACATTCAATCATTTTGTAATACCATGGTTCATTTTGCTGAAACTAATATGATTCTACTAAGTTGGAAGTTCCTAAAGATCACCTATCTTTATCCAAAACTTCTAGAAGCGGTATAACGTCACAAAGCAGTCTAGAGTTGAATGAAACCCAGAATCATTGTGAGAAAAAAGTTATTAATCAATCAACTTCCGACCAGATTTCTCATGTTATTGTAGCATATATGGTTTGTCATAATAATTTGCATATTTCAGACGAAATTTTTAAGAACTCTGAGAATAAAATGCTGAATGAATCAAATCATGATCAAAAGGCAGTTTCAGTTTTGGTATTGTAAACAAGAGGGAACAGCAAGTTTTCCCAAAGCCATCAGAGAACCAGTTAGCCCAGATAAGAAGTGTGCACAGGTAGAAAATTCAAATCCACTTCAAGATTGTCCTAATGAGTATGAGGCAGGTGCATGTTTCCCATTTGAGTGTTTCGCACGTTAATCAACCTTAGATGAATCACATGTGTTAAACACACATATTGATGCATATTTATCTGTGTATTCTAATATGAATAGCAGAAGGAATGTGTACCGTAACTTTCATGCAAGTCAAAGTCACATGATGGAATGACTCAAATTACGTGTCAATGTGCATACTACAATTCAAATACTCTTAAATATCACAAACAAACAAGTAGATCATCAAGTAGCATAACACTCAAATCCTTTTAATTAGTGGGGAGTACGACAGTGGAATCTTTTGGAAAGTATGAGATGGACAGAACATATTTAATTTTTACTAGTGGAGTCCTGTATATATGAGTATTAACAGATGACTTTATTCCGTACGGTTGTGTCTCCTACATAATCCACGATCAAAAGTCGGGAAACCATTGAGACGAAATATTTCCTAAGCAGCAGTGTTAGGGTGTTTGTAGTTTTTCGTAGATTGGTTATATACGATAGAAACTCTTAGCGTCATTGGCTCTTAGCCACACAATCTTTTGAGCCGAACATATAGTTACTGAACTCCGCCCGTAACATTTCTAGGGTTACTGCCGATCCCAACCCCACACTAAGAAGGAGGGTTGGGCATGAAGTCGGCAGACTAATTACGTAGAAAAAATCTTGTCAAAAAAACGCCAGCAAAATTCAACAAATTAAATAATTTAAACCGTGACCCGAGGGTCGAAGGAAAATTATGACGCATCAGGATGAAAGCTGATATAATTCGTAAGCCAAAAGGTCGATGTAGAAATTCTCTGATGCTGTCCAAAGAAGCACGAAATGCACATAAACGACGAGAATCTGATCGATCCAGAATCACAAAAGCATCCTTCAAAACAAAGAAGGAGGTATTCACAATGAATGTTACCCAGTGTTATGCACCCACCAATGATAGCAACGACGACGACAAAAGATACGCTTGATGAGAGGCTGGAATCGTTCATAGTAAAATGACCAGCAAAAGAACTGACCATCTTGATGGGAGATCTAAACGTCAAAGTCGGAATAGCCAACACTGGATATGAAGATATCATGAGACGACATGGATTGGGAGAGGGAAACGAAAATTGGGAGAGATTCGCAAATCTACATGCATTCAATAAATTGGTTATAGGTGGCCTCATACTTCCCACAAATGTATACGCAAAATTACATGAGTCACAACGGATCATACTAAAGAGAATCAAATCGATCATATTTGGATCACTAGAAATTCAGAAAGTCAGTGGAAGACGTGAGGACCAAGAGAGGAGCTGTTATAGCTTCACATCACTACCAACTGGTTGTAGCCAACATGAAACTGAATCTGAAGAAATACTGGACAACTGGGGAAACAGCATTACAAAGGTTTGATACAGCGTCCTTTCAACATACTGACAAACTCAACGAATTAAAGCTAACTCTCAATAACAGGTTCCAAGCCTTACAAGATCTACTCAACAAAGAAGAACCTACTGTGGAGCACAATTGTAAAGAGATCCAATAAGTACCGAATTCAACGTGTCAGGAGGTTCTGGACCACAAAAATCATCATCACCATCATAAGGAATGGGTCTCTATCGAAACCCCGGACAATATTCAAGAAAGGTAGAACTCTTTCATGTAATTAACTTAGACCCAAGAGGACAGCAATTAATAACTGCCGAGCAAGAACATAGAAATTCAAGTAACAGGCTGAATACACCGGAGCAAACAAGAAAGTAAAGAAGAGTATTAGAGTCGACAAGCAGAAATACGTGGAAGACCTAACAATGATAATGAAAAAAGTTGCATGGAAATGGAATATGAAACAACTATATGATACAACTAAGAAGGTAGCAGGGAGGTACAGTAAACTGGAGAGACCAGTCAAGGACAAAGAAGGAAAGACAATGACATAGGTAATATGATGCCTAACACATCCGAAGGACACATTTCGGCTAGAGATAAAGTGATAATACCATATATTTCTGCCAGAGCGATTACATGTCATTTTCGTAGGTGTGATCTACAAATTACGATATTAGTCGGCTTGCAGTATGCTTACCAAGTAGGGTAGTAAAATATATGAAATCAAAAAAGTAAATAATAGTACATTCGTGCAGATGTCTTAGAGCGTTATTGATTAGGTTTATGCTTTAGTATTACGCTGAGTACAATCTTTTAAATATTTCCAGGGTGGCATTGCGTCCACGTTACACACTATACCCCAGGTCGGCATAATTGTGTTAGAATTCTGTTCAAACTAAAATTTGTGCACTGCATCGTTTCAAGTTTACAGTTGTTATAGAGTAGCTTTTTAGAGCACTTGGTGTGAACTGTGACCCTGAGAAAATGCATACGTCAAGTTTGTTCCAGGCGTCAGAAGATTTACAGCTGTGCCCCCAGAGCAAGATTCTGAAAAAAGATGAACCAAGGAGCAGCAAGGCACTTGGATATGAGCGCTGAGCAATGATGTGTTTTGATGATAAATAATTGAGAGTGAATGTGTTATTCGTATTGCATCACAGATGTACCAGCTTACATTTTCTAAAGGCGAAAGTCAACTCATTTTATTCTTTCTGGATCTGTAAACGGTTAGGATATTCCTCAAGAATTTAAATATCCTTGTAATTATGTGTTTTCCTCTATATCCATGCATAGTAAATAAAAAGGATTTCTTCTGAATATACGACATCATTCCAATTTGAGTGAGCAATTGACCTTGAAGATGCTACAGGTACTCAGAGTTTGACAGCACTTTAAAGAGCAACACCTTTTATTATGAATCGTGACCACCAAGTGAAATCAAAAGGTAAAAGCGAGGAGGTTCGAAGACATATTTCACAGGCTATCACTATATCGTGAATTGACTGATTTAATTTGGCTAGCGATTTCAGGAGAAATTGAGCACGCTGTTCCGATCGGGTGCGGATGCATGACCGAGCGCCTTCAACTAGGTGAGTCCATTGAAACTAATTTGGTCAGCATCCGACGTCGAAGACTTACAGGGCTATTGATTTTGGGGATTTGTTTACCGCCACAGATCACTCCCACCCCTAGTGGAATGGTGATGACCCTATGACGTGGCGAACCGGAAGTTTAAGCCCGACGAGTTTGTCGTTGGTAAACGCTTCTGATAGCTTGCTATGTTTAGCAGCGTCTGGTCGTCTTTCCTTACTATAAGGGGCCATGAAGTACAACATAGTAATAAAGAAACAAAGTACAATAAAAAGTTCGCCTCCTCGCAAACGTCATCCCTTTTTTTATAATTTTTTCCAGCCTTCCTGGAAAAGGAAAGCAGAACATGTAAGTACATGTCGAAATACACTCGTACGTGCGTAAAGGCACAAGCTGGCGAAAAAACGGTAAATAAACTCGTGCACACCTGATAATGTGAAAGCGATTTTTAAAGAATATGTTCTGTTGTTTTAAGAAAAAAATGTATATACACATATTAGCAAAAAGATATCTTTGGAATAAATACATAAGTATGAGCATATTAAATTATTTATTATATACAGTAGAAAGGAAAATCTGAGTAAAGCAAAATGTTAACTGGTATCTCACGTGCAATAGTGGTTTAAATGTCCTGGAAATCGTACTTTTATTTCAGAACCCGTTGTTTTAAGTTTATTTTCAGATACTGCCGAAGTATCAACGTGCGTGTTGGCTGTTGGACGAGGTATCATAGGTGTAGGAGTCGTATCGTCCAATTAAGCCGTAAGAAAGTCGATATGGATAGGATTTCCTTCTAAATACGCTGCTTTGATTCGATCGATGCTGATGCTATCGTTAGTGCCATTTTTTATCTACTATATAGTACTTGCGTATGCGCTAAAGAACTTTGAAGGGTCCTTCGTACGCTGGTTCGAGGGGTCGTCGATGTGAGTCGCGACGTGCAAAGATGTTCGTACCATATCGTAAGTCAGGTTAAACGAAAACATCAGTTGATTGCGGTTGAGTGTAAAAAATTTAACTAAACGCATTGCGTTTGCAAGCCTGTTCATGTGAGAGTTTAGATACATGTTCACTGAAGAAGATGAAGGATTCATGGATTCTCCGGGAAGTCGGAGTGTCGTTCCATAAACGAGTTGAGATGCAGTGTATCCAATATCAAATTTCATTGCATTGTGAATACCAAGTAAGACTAGTGGAAAAGGGGCTGTCCCCTGTGAAACATTTGCAGCTGATAGCGAAGCTTTTAGTTGTCAAAGAAAGCGTTATACCTACCCGTTTGCTTGTAGGTGGTAGGCGGTCGTTCGGAGGTGAGTGATTTCTGATAGTTTAATCAAATTCAAACTGGCATCCACGGCCTGTAGTGATAGTTGAAGGGCAGCTGGAATTTGCTACCCATCGTTCGACAAAGGCGCTAGCCACTTTTTCAGCAGTAATGTCTCTAATAGATACTGCTTCTGGCCATGGAGTGGAACGGTTTACGGAAGTTAAAAGATATGAGTATCTATTTGAATCTGATGAGGGTCCTACCAGATCCAGATGAATAGGTCGAAAGGAGCATCAGGAGTTTTGAACGAACCTGTAGGACATGTATTGTGTCCAATCACTTTAAATTTCTGGCAGCTTACAGAAATGTGTTGCATATCTGAAGTAAACTGAGATATATAGTCCAGTTGTCGAGACTCACGAGGTTAGTACTTGATTGAAGATGAGCTTAAAGAGAAAGTAAGGGGTTTATGATCAGTAAAAAGGGCGATTTCTCAACCATCTATAGAGTAAAAATGCTGTGCAGCACAATACATAGCTAGGAGTTCCCTACTGAAAGTGCTATACTTCGATACCGCTAAAACCTCTTAGTCGACCCTGTTGGACCTACCTCAGTGGTTTACTAGCACCAATAATTTTCGGGATTTATTCTTTTACAATAGACAGTATACAATAAGGAAAGTGATCACTTATCTGAAAGCAGGAATTTATATAAGTGGCTGGCATAATACTAATTGCCCATATTTGCTGTTTAGCGTTAAACGCTTTGAATTTATGATTACTTGATTCTAACTAATTCATCCCATTTTAAACAGCAATTTTGAGACTAAATTCTACTCACGAATCGTATTAAGACTAGTTGCTTGCAATTTCCCAGTACCAATGAACTACTTTCAAATTTTGCGCTTCTTCATCTAGGGAAAAACCTAGTGACTCTATTGTTAAAATCAGTCTAAATAGTTTTTTTAAAGCATCGTTTCAAGTTTCAGCCATTCATTCCCTTTTTCTACCTTATCCGACACACAAATTACGCCATAAAGACCATTGCTTCTAAGTGACTGATTATGAATGGCGGCAGCTCCACAATTGGGTTTGCATAATAAGACGCTTGTGTGTTTCTTTTTGTCTCTGTCATTAGCCCTCTTACTTCACTGGGAGAAAGCAATATCATAAAATTTTCTGGTCTTATTGTGATTAATTTGGGGTACTCATCTTTATTACGTCATTTACACTCACAGTGTTAATTCTACCAAATGAATACAGCTTATGGCAGGAATAGGACAGTAAGATCTTGACTACACTCTTAACCCTGAATTTTAAAATATTTAGGCGTTTCACTTCTGCTGACCACTCTGTTCCCTGGAACACTCAGACTCAGTATGTTGCATATTTCTTCACTCATGATTCGTGCAGATATAATATGGGGAGGGCTATGGTACATGATTACAATAAACCTGTCACCACTTATGGCAGCAATTTTGCAAAACGGGTAAGTTTTCTAAACCACTTTTATCCCAAGTGTTCGGATTTACATCCGTTTTCAGTGTTCATATTGACATTTGTTCTTTTCTCATTCCTCATTGTTTTTGGCGGATATTTAGTTATCTAGATAATTTATGTTAGGTACCTAATCGGTTCAATGAAATCCCTACTAAGCCGCGCCTTCCATACACCATTGTTCTCCCTCCAGTTACTTTTTTTTTAAGTCCTTCACACGTACTGTGTCCTGATCAGATAACACCGCAATGTAGAGTTCTTTTGTCATTTCTATGATATACCTGGATTATAATCTGATAGTCTACAGTTCAACACAGTATCTATCTACTGATTCATCGTGGTTAACTCTGTGTTCATTTCGTCACCAGTACTTTGTCCAGGAAAATTCTTACTAGTAAGAATAATACTGTTGCTTTCGGAACATAGGGTGATGAATGATTGTTGATATGTGGATGTTTGGTGTCTACGAGGCTGTCGGTGTGTAGTCTGAAAATTTGGCCAGCGCATCACAAATGTGCGTTCTGAAACTAAACACCTTACCGTTCTTTGGGAGGCTTTTTGTAACTTGAAAATTTAAATGGCAAATACCACTAATGCAATATATATATTGATTACCAAATAACTGTATATACTTCGTTTCCTACTGAAAATTATTTGTCGTCAACTTAGAAAATTAGATGGCTAAGGTTGATGTATGTTTGAAAGGTTATGACAACTCACCACCTAAGCTAACCACTACACCGCTAGTCAGTGGTACACGTTAACACAGCTTTAAGAGTTTTTTGCATGCTTTTTAGACTTGTTATGTTAAACTGTGGCACTCCCGAATCTAATGTGCATGTAATGGAATCATAACTCTGACAGCGATTCCACATATTAACTTTAATAAGATTTTTAGCTTCACTAAGCTCGTATTATTAATATATAATCACTGGCAGATGCAGTTAGACCTAATCTTACTTCACTCAACTAAGGTCACTTGTTTTGATTGACGGTAGCTGGATTTGAATGACAATTTAATCACCTTATTTGGCTTCAGTTCGGAAGCTTGTCGTGTTTTCTCATGTATAACTTAACAAGTGAGCTTCATTATTTCTTACTTGATGGTTTCGACGCACTAGTCATATAAGTCAGTGAGCAACTCATTTTGCTGCCATAAATAGGCTGACTTGGCACACGTAAAACAAACCTCTGTTTAGCTTCTCAGATACTGAATAATCGAAGTCTTTTTAACCGCCCATAATATATCTACGTACATCTTGTCTTGTTTATGTAACGTTTTGTACCGTCTGTCGCCACTTCTGCGATATAAAAGCGACACGAATATGCGCTTTTAAGTTTTTTTTAGGTCCGATACGTTTTAAACGCAATGTTAGAAAACCATGATTGAGGCTGGTAGGTATGTAGAATAACTTGTAGCTTAGAGTAATTTCGAAACCATTTCATGTCACTTTTTTATTTTGTTTGGACTAGCCTCTGTTTAGTGCCGGTAATCCGGTGAATACTGGGGCACCTAGTTTCAGTGATATTGCAACGCTTTCAACGAGTGGTTATAATTCTAGACCTGGGTCTTCTCAGCGTAATGGTGAGCTTATCAGTTCTATACCCAATGCATTCTCTGGAAGAACAACATATCCTACTGCACTAGATTCTAGTCTGGAAAATGGTCCTTCATATTTCAATGCATTAAATTATAATAATAGTCAGGCTGGTCCTGCAAGGAATTTTTCCGAACCTTCTCTTTTCTCTTCGTTATCCACCATCAATCGGACAGCTGGAAATGACTTAACAAACAACAGAATTGGACCTGGAAGTATCACCCCATCAGTTCCTATGAACACTGCTATGGCCCTAGCATCTCGTAACCCTGGAAACCTTTATTCAAACTCAATTGGGAGTGAAAATACTTCGAATTCCACAAACCTTTCTTTATCTTCGTCTTCACGTGGCGTTACTTTAGATCCTTCAGATTTCCCTCCAATTTTAACATCGACTGGGCGGAGTGGGAATTCTTCCACACCCTTTCATTCCTCGGCAAATCAGCCTCCCTTGCGGAACTATGTTTCTATTATGTCAAAAGGGTCTTCAACCATAGACCAGAGTTTGAATCAATTTAACCATTCTTCAAATAACCAGGCAGCTCCCCTGGAATTTTCTAAGCAGGATTTCCCCGCTTTACCTGGTTCGCACCAACCTACCACTAGCACTACTACAACAGTGTCGACGACGAGTTCCTTAACTGTCAATTCAACATCTGCTCATCGTTCCTTATCGGCTAGTTCCATAACTCAAACTCCTGCTTCTACAAATTCTCGACGATTGTTTAGCCATACGTCCAACCACGTTTTAGGACCATCATCAGTCCGTAATCAGCCGGGATATTCAAATATTCCCCCTAAATCTGTTGGCTCCTCAAATGGTATACAGTTACTTCCTAATCATTTAGTTACAAATATTCCTAAAAATATGATTTGTGATCAGTTCGGAATGTTAGGTTTATTAAAACTAATTCGCGTTGGTGATTATGATGCTACGTTGAATATGCTAGCTCCTGGATTAGATTTATCCTCATTACACAGTAATTGGCAGACACCTGGGTAAGTTTGAACGTCATGTGTTCTTTTATTAGTTGAAAAGTTCTTTTTGAAAGGGATTTTACAGTTGTTTTTATATGATGCTTGTCAACATGTAGTTTGCTCAGGCTTTTTCCAAGAATTGTCATAAAAGTGGGAAAATCTGTAGGGATAGTTTTCTCAAGTTTTTTTATTGTACCACAACAACTATATATGTATATCACTTATCAAAAGTACCCTTTCTGTGTTTATGCATTACTAGATAGTGCTTGTACACCATCACCTAATTTCTAGTTATCTTTTATGATCCAAACTTCTGCTCTTATTTAACGTTGCTTGTCTTTAGTAGGTCTGGAATTAAACTAATCTCGGGGTTTCTTCTGTACTTCGTCTTCTAATCTGCTTCAGTTGTCGTCATTCCACACTTAATACACAATTACACCTAGCATCATATAAGTAAATATGTAACTTAGGAGAGGATGATCGTATGAGATTCGTTAGGATTCATGAGCTTCAGTAATGGAATAAAATTAATTGATGGATAACTTCTCGTCACTAAATATAGATTTTGTTAATTATGAGTTAGGCATAGATTTACGTTGATTCATTTTTCCCAAGCTAAATGGTAAACGTAACTTTATCGCTTGTTAGTTATCAACCAAATAACTAAATATCTAGCTTTTATGGTCCATATTTACCTTGACCTATCAGGATAACATCTCTTGTTTACATTACTCATATCTCTGTCGGACTTGATTTTTTGCCGTACGCGGAATGTTTTCATTTCCCCGTCCAACAGATGTTCATTAGGTCATCGAATAATCTCTTTATTCGTCTGATAGTACTGTTTTATTGTTCTAATAATGTTGGTAATATCGTATCATCAATTTATATGTTTACCATAAGATTGTGGTACAAAATGGATCTTTTCTGTCTCATATTACTTGGTCTACAAAACATCTAGGTAATAAGTACTAATAGACTTTCACTCATTATCAAAGTTTTGTTCGCTATCAGCTTGCTACTGTTAGTTTAACTCCTTTTAGAGGTCTTGTTTATGTATTTAATGATTTTATTTCAAGTTAAATAGGTTAGTTGAAAAGCTTTCACTAAGATACTAGATATCATTCTCAGTCGGTTTTCTCACAATCGGGTCTTGTTACTAAGATTTCTTGTAAATGTACAAAATATGATCCAATCTACTTTCATTTTGTGAATTTAATAATTTCCGTAATTTAACCCTTCGTCATTGATATATAATTAAACGTTATTTGGTGTAATCGAATTGTATTTAGGTACTTGGGTAGCAAAGCATTTATCGACCTTAAAGGCGATTGAAGAGATACTTTGAGGTATATCAACAATGGGTGCAAAAGCCCATGTAGTTTAAGTAGTGTTTTTCGTCATTCTGTTCCTCAAAACTATTTTACTGGTAGTTCCGAGTATTTCAGGCACTCATTGAGAATACCATAATAGGTTTCTAAGTAAACGTATCGAATTTTCGATTAAAAGTGTTTATATCCATTGTCTAGTTTAATTGGGCTGTTTACTGCTCTAAACTCTAAAATTGGGCGGCCTGCTTAAACATCTGGGCTACCTGTTTCCCGTCATCTATATATTTCAACATGTTATCTAATATTGTTTGTTTTAATACATAATTATGGCTATTAAGCACACAACCTATTCCGGTGCGTTTCTGAAAACTGTACAATCTTTCGCTGTAAAAGTTACAAAAGGCCTAATCAGAGATGTCGTGTTTGCTGGGAACATGCAGCAAAAAGAATATACATTATTCATATGTCGATTGACTAAACTGCTGACATCCAACTGGCGATCACTGATTGTTTATCATCAGGAGCAACGAAGAAATAAGAAACGTAAACATGTCGAAATACTTTATGCTGAGAATTCGATTTTGTACCAAATAATATAATATTGAATAAAGATAATAATAATAATAATCTGGCGGATTTCCAACTGATGTTTTCCTCTGAAAATCCTCATTAAGTCATGTTAATGGATGTAGACTACTTGATTGGTGTGTGTGTGTGATTATCGTAGCCAATGTTTATAAAATTTTTAGCGACGTGGCTCAGAATCATTCACATTAACGCAGGTACTTTCACTTTTTTTCTTTTTTTAGAATCTGGGTTTCAATATCCCATACCTTTTTATTTCTTTTTCCCACACCTAGTCTTTCCTGTTACTACTTCTACTACTCTGGGATTTGTCATGAAATAATTTTATCTTGCTACAGTAATTTGGGATGGCAAGTTAAAACTATGCGCACGTGTCGGGTTTTACGTTGCGTATGACCAACTGACTGACTAAGTATTTCCTAGAAAAATTTCCCGGGAAATGGTCTGGTATTTATTGCGCAAACTGACTTAGAAAGTACACACTATAGTTTTATGAGGCACAAATAGCTCTGTAGCAACTTTTCGTGATACAGTTGTGGCTCAATACTTTGATCATGTGACTCAATTATCGCTTTACCTATTTTTAATGTTTCCTCTTCTAGTGAGCTTCATACCACCTTTGTTTCACCTCTTCAAGATTCTTGTTTTGGACGTCCACAAGATATGGATTATCCTGTTCCACCGGAATATCTTATACGACATTTAGTTACGGATCGTTTACCTGATCCACCTATGAATCAATTGTCAGAAGAGACATTGTTTTGGTTATTTTATAATTGTTGCCGAGAAGAAGCACAGTTGGTTGTGGCGAAAGAACTGTATGTTATGTTTATTACTGTTTTTATTTGACTAGAATTCAAAAATTGTAAATTTGACATATATTTTTTCATTTTAATAATTTTGATAATTTCGTAATTTTCCGTAGTTCAAGTATTTATTTACACTACAAAATGTCTTAATCCGTCCATGGAAAATAACTGGTCTTTAATTTAAAGCATTAATTACAATCTCTCATTCAAGTAATTAAGCTACCTGTTTTTTCATTGGAGCGTTGACGTAGTGGTTGGGGCACCCAGTTTTCGACCATCAAGTTTGGTTCAAACACCGCCCCACCTATTGCGGTTTGGGCTACCGGCGAGTGCCGTTAGCCCTTCCATTTGTGGTGTAGCTTATACCCGTATATCTGCTGAATGAGTTACCTATAAATCATGTATTATCACAAAAGCATTGGAACATTTTTTATCAATTCAAAGCAGTCGTTGGATAGAATATGTTGTTGAAATATGGCTCTACATTTTTATTTATTAGCATTCATCAGAAACATGTATTATCTGTAACAACAACAGAACAGCAGTACTGAAGTCTAATTTCATTAAAATTAAACAAAAAATGTCCTTTTAGTCGGTTTGTATAAATGTTATCCGAATCACTTCTTTCTATCTGTTAGTAATATTCTTATATTTAAAAATGTTTCACGGGGAATGTTTACAATTTTACAAAATTACAAACGTATTTAGTGTTTTCTAATTTTTTATCCCTGTCGACCAAAACTACAAGATTATTACACAACTTGGCATTCTATGCGCGCGTGTATGTGTAAAGAAATAAATTGAAAATGTATTTATAATTGCAGAAATAATTTACCTCATACTGTACAAATAATTTTTGGAAATTATTTTAACCAACTTAATCGTTTTTCAATAGATTTCGTAAAGTCAGAATTTAAATGTGGACTTGGAACTTATAAATTATTGTTCTAAAGTCTCAGCACTCAACACAAACAAGATTGTCAGTAACAGCATCGAAAAGAGGCAACAAACCAATAACATTTAGGGTTCTTCCAAGTGGGAAATACAATCTAAAGGTGAAAATGGGCGCTTAGGCGCAGAAACGAGAAATTAAAATTTCCAAAATAAAATGACAAAAAATAAGACTTTTACCAAGCAGTTTCTGGGGATCTAGCATCTCCAACAACTGAGATGTTACTTCTTGTTCTACTACCTGTATTATTTACAAAATCTATGAATACTAACCATACTTGAGTGTGATAACCAGTTACTTAGTAAACAATTGATTTCTAGAGTCAACGGTAACTTTCATCTGTGTACGTGAATTCCAAACTTCAAGTTGTCTGTTTTTAATTCTTGGCTAGTTGTATTACGTTTGGTTTAATTCTTCCGTATGTAATAGGTACATTGTAAGTAGTTAGTAAAAACAGTTTATAGTTTAATTCATTATAAGTCCAAATATTTGTTTGTATGTGCTCATTTTAATGGCGCTAACTCTTTTTTGATAAGAGTTGTATTCTACAGATTAGTCATTTTATGACGGTTTTTTTGGGTGGGGGAATACTTTGCATAATCCAAATAAAAAATTGTTTTACACCTTAATTCTTAAGTTTTAACTGATAAGTTACGTTCTCCGTATAAAATCCGTTTATTCAGGCCCTAAACTATCAGGAATTTTCTTAACTTTTGTACAAATAGTATAGACATTGTTAGTAAGTTCTGTTTCATTAGTTTTCTTCCAAAACAATTTTCTAAATGTTCCTTATCTTCGACCTTTTTTCCCTTAAGCTATCAACGTGAATGGCGATTTCATAAAAAAGAACAAATATGGCTTACTCGTATAGTAGGTGCCAATTTCACGTCAGATAACAATTCTGAACAAGGTGATTACTACTTCTGGGATCCTGTTAAAGCGCAAAAGTCTACCCATCAAATGACTATCTTATATTCAGATCTGGATAATGCACCAGCAGCATTTCGTCTTAGTTCAGGTACATTAAGTGCCTTTGTCAGTATCGGTTTGCCTGGTGGTTCGCATAGTAGTGTTCCACCACCACCTCCACCTCCTCCACCATTACCACAGAACCAACAGCAACAATTAGTTAGTTACCAACATCAGTCACGTCAGGCGCAACAAGGCCAGCAAACGTTTTCGCATACACATCAAACACTTATGAATAATCATAATCCTAATACATCAGGACCATTTATTCCGTTTACTGTCAATTCGTTGACTACTGGACCATCGGTCAATTCATCAAATGCTGCAACGTTAGCTAGTTTGTTCAACACTCGTCAGCAGCAACCAATTAAGCAACCGCAACAACTGAATTCAAATCCAAATTATTTTCCATCTCATAATCGAACTACTGGTCCTGTAAATTCATTGTTCACTAATCGATCAGCTCCAGTATCAGTTCCTGTGACTAATACAGTGATTCCTTCTACAGAGACTACATCGACCACTAACTCAAACTTTAATCGTCTCTCCAATCCATCACTTGTTAATGATAATCCCAACCAAGTAGTTTTTGATGGTTCACAAATTTAGATCTGCTTTATCATTGATTCTATGAGCAATGTGTATAATATACACGTAGAGTTCTATTTGTGTTATGAGGCGTAAATGCAATCTTTTTTCAAGTTCACATGGTCAACTTTCTTATGAGAACATTCAATTTATGTTAATTGTGAAGCCGATCATTGTAATTCATTTTTGGATTTTTTTCAACGTTATTTCTAGGTTACTTTTCCCAAAAGGGAGGTGTATATCACACTGAATATACATGCATATATATATATATATTTCAGTCTGTGCTTAATCTTTTTGATTTTATAATGTTCGGGTGTTCTGATACTGATTCACGTGTTGTTTTCACTTATATATATATATATATTGTTTCCCTCCTGTTTTATAAATAAGATCCGTTTTCTTTTCTTAACGTTATGATATGAAAAGATTTTCTAACAAATGCTTGTATGTATGAAAGTATAAGGGTCAACTTATGCATCTGTCTAATTCTGTCGATATTTTCCCTTGCTCTTGTTTCTTATTTCATTTTTTAATTTCTTGGTCACAACTTCAGTTTACTACATGTTCTAAACTTTGTTTATCTTTTCTTTCTGTACACACTTGCAAATAAACAAGAAAGTAAAGTGTATGTATACAAAAGCCAACGAGACCTGTTGCTTTGTCTTAAAGCATAATTTTTCTTTTCTATATATATATGAATGGAAATCGATGCACCTATATTATTAGTCTTTACTTATATTTCATTTAACTATTATTATTCTTCTAATCAAGATGATATTTTGTTATTCTTTTCCTTAAAAAAATATTCCTCAATGCGTGTAGAACAGGTATAGCTTGTCAGTTAAAAACAGTGTAAATGAATTATGTTCTGTGGATACATGTGTACTATAGTGTGTAACCGCTTTTCTTTATCTTCATTCTGTTCTGCTTATCTTTTGCACCATTATTCCACTTATGTCCATTGTTCTTTTTTTTCTTCGTCAATATTATTCAACCTTCTTAGAAAATTTATCGTTTATTTTGTAAACTTTTTATTAAATAAATTAGTAAAGGATACTTTTTAATTAAAATTATTACTGTTTCCTTATTTTTTCCAAAATTATCTTTTTTGATTGGTTAATAGTTAATATATATGTCAATATTAGATAGGGTAGGTGTTTAGAATGTACAAATAGCACTAGTAGTAGTCGTAGTAGTCATATTTAATATGTATGTTTGTGTGTGTTTGACTAGAATGGTTTTTCCTGATCATTCCAAGTTGAATATCTCTTGTATTTTTACAGGCCACTTTATTTCTTCTCTAACTCTCGTTTTTCTGTTTTGTACAACTTCACTCATTGCATAGGTTGCTTTTAATTAAAAAAAGTTAGTCTTGACATTTTTCTTTCTTAAAGACAGTTCTTGAAAGACTAGATAGACGTGTGAGTATTACCTCTTTGTATTCTGCACCATTTTCTTCTGTTTCACGCTTATACATACATATTTAATATCTATCTATCTATTGTCTTTATTTCTTCACTTATACTTGGACTCGTGTATTTGTACAAAAAAACTGGTCATAAGAGAGAGAGAGAGTGAAGTAATATTAGTCGACTAAAATAATTATAACTTAAGTAGTTTGCTGTATATCATATCCCATTTTTCGTGTGATCTCTTAGGATATCTATATAATAAGAGTTTTTGCCTCCTTTCTTACTGTCTTAATTATATTGTACTTTGTCTGTCTATGTGTATATTCTGATCAGATCGAGGTAAATATTCCTTAAAAATATAAATTTTATATAATTAATATGCATCATATTAACTTTATTACCTTCGTCAACTATAATACTGCAAAAACTATTATTTATAAGTATTTATTGCTGATCTGATAATTTTTCTCTATGAATTAAGAATCTAGATATTTTCAATACTTGTGAAAATCACAAGGGCTCATGACATATTTTCCTACTATATTTAGAATTAGGTAGCTTTTACAATATAAATAGTTGAACTTATTTTGTTTGAATCTTCCCGTTGATGTTTAAGACTACAATTGATCAGTCTATTATTGGCGAATGTGCATCCTGTGCGGATTGCCTCGATATTGCATTATAAGCGAACTGTACTGGGTTCGAGTCCGAGAGTGAACATCAACTCTGGGATGCAGATGTATCCAGCTGACGAGTTCAAAGTAGGGCAAAACGCGCTTCCTGGATTCCACTGGTAGCCACCAACCATCTTTGCTTAAAATAGTTAAACTGTTTCAATGATTTTAGATTAATGTTGTTCTCAAAAAATACCGAATTACCATATAACTGAAAAAATTTATTTTAGGCGATGATTTCTTGCGTATGCACTGTTTAAAATTAGTATGTGAAAAAGCTCAGGATTTACTATGACTTGATGATAATATGCAATAATACAATGTGACCGATTGATTGACATAACCTCAGGATCCTTCAAAGTAAAATACAGGACCACTAAGCAGAAGAATATGTGTTTTTTTAATGTAATAAAACGATATACTTATGTACAAGATATTAACATAAAATTAACGTCAGGTGATTAGCAGAAATTAGTTTGGTTATTCACTCTTCATTCAATTAGGACTTGACTGTCGGTTTCCGACTATAGTCTGTTATATCAAAATTAGTGTAAACTGACGTTTATTTATTTATTCCATGGGGATATCGCAACATCAAATGTTAGTTTTTGGATTACGCATGTGTCGCGACAATAAATTAAAAAGTAAATTTAGATAGATTTTAGTTGCTATTACTTGTTCAGTGAAATCTTCCGCTTCTCTTTATTTATATTCTACTTCAATGTGCTGAATATTGATCATTGGTCGTGTAGAACTTAAATATAAGAAGTCGATATAATCCATTGAGGCTTACTCGTAATCTTAAAAAAAATCAGAGCTGACTGAGCCAAAACGTGGCATAATTCTATGACGTCACTGATCCATACGTATAGGTAGGTGCAGATTATCTGGTTGAATTCACGCAGTTATCAATGATTAGAGATGAGTGACATTATTCAGCATCGGTTGCAATGGCACCGATGAGTTTATTCTGCCTTAAAATATTCCTACTTTTTATTCCGCAAATCCATTCTCTTTTATTAAGTCATATCAGCTATGTCTAATCTTTTATTACTATAACTAATAATGTTATAACTACTACTTTTGGATTTGTCTTATGTGATTGCATTGATATGGTGTGGCACTTTGAACGGATACACAAATGATTCTCAGTTTTTTTTTGTTTTTTAATGATTAACTGACTGGTTGACCTAAAACAGTTTATGTTTCTTACGTTATTTGGATCTCATTCACAGATGTTATTATTTTCTTACACTTACTACATAGTCATTTCACTTACCTAATTGTGAATAGGTTGTACATTATGTCCTAATTGATAAATTCCTACATTATTTATTTATTTTAACACATAAATATTGATACGAAGAGGCACCAGATATATATGCGCCACACAAATCTCATTTGATTTGTGTGAGGGCTGTGATACTGCCTAGGTACCCAAACTAAAACAGGTGGTTTTCTTAAGGGGCCACACCCCGAGCCTTCGACCTGAAGATCTGATCCACAAGGCAGTGGAGCATCGTAAGGAGATGCAGTCCCATGATAGCCGGTGACCAACGATTGATTCATACGCCATTTGTTCCCTCAGGATACTGGAGCCCATGTGCACCATTGGTTTGGAATCAGGGTTTTCCGACTCGCCTAGGTGAACTCACAGTGTCCACCGACCCGGTGAAAACGCCGAACATTCGCTTTTCGTCCTCTCGATTTCGTAAACAACACCCGTGGTGTGAGAAGGCAGTGAGTAGGACTTCCCTGACAGAGGCTATATACACATAGCCATGTGAGAGTATTTCGAGAAGGAGAGCGGACTCTTCCCACTCTCGACCGTACCAGGGCATTTGGGGGCATCTTGGTGACCATATTCATATTTTCACTTAGAGATTACTAATTAATAGTATTTCCTCAATTTATGTCAGATTACCAATAATTTCATGAAATTTAAACGTACTTTATCAGTATGAATTATCCAGTAATTTGTAATCTCAAAATACTTTTGATTAACAAGCAAACAAACTCCGATAAGCTTATCTCGTTTAGTCAACAAAAAGCTCTAACCATTGATGTTTCTTCTTTCAGACATGTTTTGATGTTCACAGCTTTTATACATTTAAATGGATTAGTACTAGTAGTAGTGTCATTGGAAAAACATTTTTCTAAACTAGATTTCATCCATTTCTTATATGGTGTGATTATTATTGTTGTTTTCTGCAATAAGTCCAGCATCTGGTTTGACGCATAGAAATCCAATTTCTGAACTATAAACTTTATAAATCAGCTTATGTGATGACGTCTATTTATAAAGCTTACTTATAATTATTATAGTTCAGCTGATTAGGTTTGTTTATTGTGATTTAATTAATGTGTATGAAGCGATGACCTAGTGCTTAAAGCATTCAACTTATAATTATTAGTTCCGCCCCATCATCGGTTTGGACAGCGGGATAGTGTCACTAACCATCATACACATAAGAATGTGTGACTCAAGTTCAAGTACATGAATATGTACTTGATGAGTTGTATCTTGAAGATGATGTGTTAAACAAATGTTCTTTAAGAAATAATTATAAAAATATTGTACAGATTAGCAGAAGTCCTTGGATTTCCAAAGAAAGTATATATTAAGTTCTCCAGACAATCAAATAATGTTCGAATAAAAAGCCTGGTTATAGTATGCTACTATACTGACGACTTAGGCTACTTATTAGCCAAACCAAAAATTGTTTAGCTATAAAAGAACTAGCAACAAAACCCATTGAAATCACGGTTGGTAAATAGTTCTGATATGAATGATGAACCCTTAAATGTTGCTTTATTTAACATATTAAATGGAGAAAATTTAAGCCTAAGTATTAAGAGTTGGGCTTAAGTTATAAATAATGCTTAGGGTTTTCATCAAAACCTGACATCAGCTATAATGAAATGATGTTTCGGCACACTTTGGTTTATAAACTTATGAAAGTCAAGCTTAAGATTTAGAGCTAGGAATTAGAGTGGGAGAATACACAAATACCCTTGATTATGAATTGAATCACGTTAAGTACTTACACTATATAATCTGTCTTAAACGTATTCATATCTCGTAATTTAGCTTAAGCACTAAGTCACATTCCCTGTGTAGTTAGAATGTACTCTTTAAAATATCTTACATAAGTATTTTAGGAACGAGATATTGACAATTCTTACTTAGTTTATAATATACATAATGTCCTTCACTGCACATTGACTTTTGTGGACAAATCAGAACGACAATCTCTTACATCTAATTGGCTCATTTAAAGCCGTCAGTATATTATACTTTTAACAAAAGTCTTATTAACAGGAAAATTGTTCACTGGTACTACTACTACTACTATTGAGTAGATAATGCAGAAAGTATTTAGAACGATATACTTAATTGCTAATCATTTCCATTAAAATACGATTAGTGAGTTTTGGTAGTCATTTCTTTGCTTCAAAAGTATCATTCCCATAGAACAGTGTCCCATGTCTCGTATAAAAACTCGCATACAAAGAGTTCTCGATTCTGCGCCACGAACATTTTTATGTGAGGGCTAGTGATAAGGAGGGCTGGAATTAGATATCTCATAGTTGAATGTTAAGCGCTGTAACTAGCACACTTTTATTCATTCATAACTATTGTATTGTTTTTCATTACTTCTGTATTGTTCTTCAAACTTTCTCTTTTTTCTTAAAGACTCATTTGTATAATTGGTTAACAATACCAATATGCTTTTCAAAGTCTATTTAATAGTATACATCAATAAGATCATAGAAGAACACACTAGTAACAAGTTTTTATTTTCAAGTATTCATAAAATTTCTAACATCATTAAGAGGTTTTCCGATATTTTTCATAATTTTCAGTCCTAACTCTTATACTGGTTACATTTCAATGGATAGTTTGTCAATACTCCAATGTTATGTGAATAATGCTAATTTTTTTGAACGGGGGGGAGAAGAGAGATGAGGAGGGGTTCGCTCATAAAATAATTTAGATTCATTTCCTATTACTTTACGCATTATCACGTAATAGTATTCACACAATCTACACTTATTTAATCGATCGTGGATGCGTACTGCTGAAGAGACCAATAATAGAACGAAACGGCTGTCCAGTGATTCCTGGTTTTCCATGGTAGTCTAGCTTCAATTGACTCATGATTTCAACTATGAAAATACTGAAATCTCCACAAAAACCCTTCTGATCTATAATCGAATATATTCAAAACAATATGAAATGACTTAAAATTGATTGATACAAAGATAAATTAGGAGATGATAGTTTGAACGAAACATTTTAATGATAATAATTGTTATCTATTTTAGTATTTCTTTACTTGTCCGTATTCTTTGGTAATCTATTCAAGGTCATTGAGAATAAAACTAGCTGACACAGTGATATATCATTATTTCAGTTAGTGACAAACAGCTTGACATTGCTTTACATCACCGTTCTTTAGTAAACACTCAAATACTGATCTGTAAATAAGATTATGAATTCTATTGTATTACCCATGTGATATTTTCAAGATTCTGATTAGTCTTATTACGTCAAAACATTGGTTAGCTACAAATTTCTAACCGTTTTTAAAAAAAATAGCGAATTGATCTTTTTTCTTTCCCTATTTGTTCCTTTTTAATTCTCTTTTTGTTTTTCTCACTAGGTCTTTAAAAGGATTATTATAAAGATACAATGACAAGTGATTACATTTTATCATGCTTTAACGAATGTATCGTTTAATGTTGACCATTTAATTTATCAGTGTACTTACATCAATTAATGCCTTATGCTTTAATTGCATAGTACATCAATCGATTGTTTCAACGTTATTTAGTTTGCTTGGTAAGATCATATATGATATAAACTGATATAATTCGTTCTCTGCATATAATCAATAATGATATAATTGGTTAACAATCTATGTCAGTCTTATATATTTGGGTTAACCTGCAATTGTATAGTTTAGTGCTTCAATGGACCTAATATGAATTAATCCCTTTATTTTTGTCATTTATATAATCTTACTAAAGATTAAATAAGAAGCTTTTAGTTCTTATTCAAACTGTTTTAATTCTTAGAAGTGAACAATCCTCTCCCTGCTCCTAAGAAAAACGAAATCAATTTCTCGTCTATTGTATATTATAAGACATGAACAGCGGTTACCACGACGCGCTATACTGACTAGTATTGGGGATGGTTGGAAGAAAGTAAAGGAGGTGGCAAAACCAAATCGTGGCATCAGAGCTTGAAGTCACTAACTTCTTGTTTGAGTCGTGTTGGTAGATGCAGACTACTTGGTTGGAGTCCTCGTGACTATCGTAACCAATGTTTGGAGATTCTGTGTGACATGGCTCAGAATCGATCACAATAGCGCAGGTGTATACACTCTTGATCTTCCCTTAAACCTTGAGATTAAAATTGCTTCATATCTGTCTTCCTTCCTATACTATATCCTTATATACAACCTATCTTTTATATACTACCACCACTAAATTAACTATTTCTATGAATCCAGTGTTCATCTTGTTGTGTTAACGAGGTATGGCAACTTGGAGCGATGCATATATGTGCCTGGTCCTACATTCTAGCTGACTGACTGACTGTATATTATAAGAATATTTTAGGAATTAGCAATTAAACCTTTATATCTATAGTTTTTAATTGTGTATTTCAGTGATTGGTCACTGATTAGGGAATGAGATTGGTAACAATGTCTTGGTGTCCAGTTTTTAATTTAAACCGAACATTAAAAATTCATTATATAATCCGGTTAATGGTATATTTTGACGTTAAATTGTTAGACACAAACCTGTAATCTTTATGAGGGATAAGCAAATTCAACATTGTTAGTAAAATGCAAAACACACTGAAGTCTTACTGACTCAGTCAGTTATACCGTAGAACTTCGTAAGTACGTACATCACTTCGAGTTGCCATACCACATTAGCACAGAGATGCAGTTGTCGATTCATCAAATCCCATAGTGGTAGAAGTTGTAAGAGAAGTCTTACTGATCTCATTATATATTTATTGAATCATTTCGATTATGATCATGCATGTGATAATATAATTTCCAATAAAAATTTACTAAATGCTCAACTTATGAAATTATAATAATAGTATTTGTATATTTTACTTGAACATAATACAAGTGCAATAATCTTAGAGAATTTTCAATAACATGCATATATATATTCCTTTCACATGAACTTTTCATCTATCTTAGTAGTGTAATCCAAAATTGACATAAAAAAGTGGCTAATCAGTCATGGTAGTATCTACTGTTGACTATCTGTTGCGTAATATGTACACATATAATAATAGTCATAATAATATTTGTTTTTTACATTTCGTTACATGTCTCTGCCCTTTCAGCACTCCACTCAAAGTCACCAGTAATAAAAATGGATGGATGAGGGATCATATGTGGTTTGCAACTCAACTTCAATAAAATCTAAAAAAAACGTTATTATTCTAGAAGGGATGGTTTATTATTAGTACTGAAATCTAGGATACACACTTCATCCTATCAGGCACTCGTCAGTTGGATGCTCTCACATCTGTGCTAATATTCACATTAGGGCTTGAACTCGGTAGCCTCATTTTGAACGCCAACACGTTATTCAGTGAGCTACTAATTAAAAATATTCACTAACTTGTTTAATGGGTGTAATGTTTATATCGTTATTAGTAACTATAAAACTTGTGACAAACTGGGTATATTGAGACGATTCGAACAGGACGGATATAAATTACATTGGAGCATAGTGTTTAACTAACACTGATGAGCATGCTATTTTTTTTTGAAACTAGATACACTGCTTTTATTATCATTCAACTATATATGATTTATAGTATTATAAATAATTTATCTGAGATTAATAATATCTTGTGTTCTTTGTTGTGGTAATACGCCTATGATGTTATTGTTTATGATCAATGTAAACTTCAATATAAGAAGTAGGTATTAAAGTCAGGACAATTGACAACTTATTTTTTTATCAGTATAAGGTTGTGGAGATTGTTAAGTTTTTGATTGAGATCATGAATTGATCAATGTTAGACCACCATTGAAAACCTGGAATCACTGGACGACCATTTTGTTCTAGTATGGGACACCTTAGCAAATACTGGTGGTGAACATTTATGATCGTAGTAATAATAGTAGTAATAATAATAGAAAAGATATTTGTAACTTTTCTTTATGGAAGTATGAGATTCTCTGTGTTTGAATTCAGCGAACCAATCAGCTCACTAGATGTAACACTATCGATAAATACTTATAACTGAAGGTTGTGATTTATAAAGCTAATTATTTTGTAACTTCGCTTTATATGTAGGTTATTAATTAATTCCATTGTTTACAAGTCATCATAGTCATGTAGATTAATGAATGCAGTATTTTTTTCGTTGTTCTTCACTTGAGTTTACATATTGACGTCTTCTTTTCGATTTTCTTTTCATTCTCTCCGGATACAGACATGGGTTATTAGTTTTAAAACATTCAATATCGAATCAATAGGTTTCGGTAAATACACACCTATAATTGTTGAGTTATTTAAATACTCAGCTTAAGGAAAGGAGTATAGGGTCATGTCATGAACTGATATAAATTCTTGTAGATCTTAATGCTTATTCATACGTTGATCCAATCATAAACCACTGCAAACAGTTCTAACAATATGGAATAACAGTGATTAGTAGTGTTTTTGACAACATATTTCAGTATTATCACTGATTGCCGTGACAGTTAATGATCGCGTATTATTCCATCTAACCATCATCATACATGGATTGCATTGATCAGTTTATATTAATAATTGGTTGGATAGAATTCTGTTTGTATAAAAATGCACTTATTTTTAACTTATAGGATTTGAAGACAAGAGAAAATCTTGGCATACATTTCGTAGTTTCCAATTGTGCATCAACAATGCGTTATGTAAAATGTAATAGAAATTGGTGCTTGATGGATTAAACCGAATCTCGTGACTGAGTACAATCATCAAAGGCTATTTTATTGAATTGTTTGGAATTACTGGATTCCTGAAGGAATACAATATCGTCTGTATCATCACTGGTACAGCTTCGTGTTGTTCTGTTGCTGGTATTTATTTTTGAACTAGTCTTTGTTGGTTTATATCCGTCCTGTTCTAATTGCCTCAATATATACCCAGTTTGTCACAAGTTTTATAGTTACTAATAACGATATAAACATTACACCCATTAAACAAGTCAGTGAATATTTTTAATTAGTAGCTCACTGAATAACGCGTTGGAGTTCAAAATGAGGCTACCGAGTTCAAGCCCTAATGTGAATATTAGCACAGATGTGAGAGCATCCAACTGACGAGTGCCTGATAGGATGAAGTGTGCGTCTTAGATTTCAGTACTAATGATAGACCATCCCTTCTAGAATAATGTTTTTTTTTAAGATTTTATTGAAGTTGAGTTTCAAACCACACGAGGAATGATTTTCAACATTCACATCCTTTTATCGTTTACTCTAATACTTAACAATGAAAACCATACAATACCAAATCAATATTTCTTTGTCAAACAATAAAAGCACAAATAATCCTTATTTATGTGTATATATATACTGTCATAGGTCATAGTGAACAATTACAGGATACATTAACAAAATTTTAAGACAACAAAGTCAATCTATTTGATTGGTTAAAAGTAAAGAACCACAATGAAACACAGATTTTATAAGAAAACAGTTGAATGACAATGTTTGTGTTATTGTACCGTTCGTTTTTTCTTTTTTCTGCTTCTTCATCTTAACAATGGTTTAGTCCTTCTTTTTGGAATTGATTAACGCCCATAATGATTGCAACATTTCACATTACCAAAAAGACTGTAACAAAAAAAACATCCATCAAATTTGTTGTAAACAGGACTAATCAACATGTTATTGACTATTTCAAGTCAGAGAATAGCTAGATTCAATGCATTGTCTCTGTAAGCTTATTTTTATTTTTTGGTTCCATTCTGGAATAATTTCTGGAAACTCTTTAGATCAATAGATAAATGCTAAAAGCCAATTGTTTTCATTCATCAAAACAAGGTGTATTTACAAATTTGATAAAATTTTAATCATTCATATTGATCATAACGTTTACTTCACAGCTGTTATAACTAAGCCGAAGATGAAATAAGCAATCTCTTTACTTCTTGATTAACTAAACCAACTGATGCAAAAATCATGATTAAAATAATCTTATCTGTTTGTCGTGTTTCATACGGTACGTGAAGAAGCCACATTGAATCTCTTACGGATCTATACATGTACACTACTGAGGAGATTCGAAATGACGCACAAGAGATTTTAAGTAATTTCTAATATCCAACAAGTTTTCAGTAACAAATATTATGTTTATTAATGAATTTGACTGAATTTTCAGGAATTGATCTCCTACCAAGGGGTCCACTTATCGACTCAAAATACACAGATAACAAAGTCCTGTTTGGTGAAGACGCTGACAAAATACAGAGTCTTCTCTTAGAAATGAGTAATAATGCGAGGATGTTTGGGATGCGTTTCTCCCCATCCAAATGTAAATTGTTACTCCAGGACTGGCCTACGTCTACACCTGAACTAAGGATAGGGAGTGAAGTAATCGAACGCGTCGACAACTTCACTTATCTTGGAAGTCTGATCAGATCTAATGGGTTAGTGTCTAACGAAATCTCAGCACTGATTCAAAAAGCTCGTTTGGCTTTTGACAACTTACGTCACCTATGGCGAAGACGAGATATCCGTCTATAAATTAAGGGACGAGTATACTGCGCATCAGTTCGCTCTGTTCTACTTTACGGCTGTGAAACATGGTCATGAGGACTAGAAGATACTCGTAAGTTACTAGTATTTGACCACAGATATCTTAGATTTATTGCTCGCATCTGCTGGGATCACCGGGTAAGTAATAATGAGGTTAGACACAGGGTATTCGGGAATGATGGTAAATCAGTTGATGAGGTGATGAATCTTCATCGACTGAGATGGTTAGGCCACGTGTTACGTATACCTGAACACCGATTACCACAATGCACAATGCTGACTAGTATTGGGGATGGTTGGAAGAAAGTAAGGGGGGTGGCAAAACCAAATCGTGGCATCAGTGTTTGAAGTCACTAACTTCTAGTCTGAGCCATGTTCGTAGATACAGACTACTTGGTTGCGGTCCATGTGACTATCGTAACCAATGGTTGGAGACTGTATGTGACATCGCTCAGAATCGATCACAATGGCATAGGTATATGCACTCTTGATCTTCTCTTAAACCTTGAGATTAAAATTGCTTCATATCTGTCTTCCTTCCTATACTATATCCTTATATACAACCTATCTTTTATATACTACCACCACTAAATTAACTATTTCTATGAATCCAGTGTTCATCTTGTTGTGTTAACGAGGTATGGCAACTTGGAGCGATGCATATATGTGCCTGGTCATACGTTGTAGCTGACTGTCTTATTAAAGAATATTATTGATTGTGAAGGATTATTTCGTAGTTGGTCTCAACTTATTTACCATAGTTGAGATTCTAGTTTAATAATCTAAGTTTATTATTATTGATTATGAAGCAGACAACTTTATCAGCTTATTCTGACGTACATGAAGTTGAATAAATGGATGGTATGCTTAACAATTGTAAACTTATCTTATAGATTAATCAGTACATAGCCCTTCATATCCTTACTTAATGAATGTCAGTAGTATAAATTTAAAAAAGTATTGGATAGTCCATTTTTGTCAAAAAGATCTTAAACATTCAAGTTACACTTCAAAAATATAACGGTTACTTAAAATAGGTATGGAAATTAGTTTTAAATTGTGATATTTATAGTTTAGGGGACTGTTTTGTTAAGAATATGTATCACAAATCAGTTGGGTCGAATTCTTATTTAACGTTATTACAAATCCGTTCACTACATAGTCTGTTTTAGAATTATAGATCAGAGGGGGTTTTGTGAAGAATTTAGTATTTTCATAGTTGAAATCATGAGTCAATTGAAGGTAGACCACCATCGAAAACCTGGAAGCACTGGACGGCATTTCGTCCTATTATGGGACTAGAGTTTAAAGATTCTAGGCTGCAAAATATCATGAAATGATTAAAGTTAAACATACACATCATTGGATTTCAACTGAGGAGTCTAAGAGTTATGTTGCTCTCCATAAGATCTGAACGTCGTGAATACGTTTACTCATGGAGTTGTAGATGTACACTGCTGAGGAGCCCTCTACTGGGACGAAATAATTGTCTAATATTATCTAATTTTCAATGATCATTCAAGTAAGATTAATTATCATATAACTTGGCTGTTAAATTTAACCTAAACTTTATAAAAGTAGTATAATGATATTGATCGTTGAGTATCTATATTCACAGCTCGAGCTTTTACTATAATAACCTTTAGTCTACTTGACTATTTTCAGGATTCATACAACGTTATCGCAGTTCACAAAGTTATGAAAAATTAAATCCATTTGATATTGGTTTGGATTCATACAATTATTTTAACCAATAGATGGAAACGGTAGTTGAAATATTTAAGAATCGGTTGCAACGGCAGAGATACATTCAGTCTTCATCTTCAAATATTTATACTATAACATATTTGGTTCATATCATATATAAAGATTGTATGTTTTCTTAAAAAATCACTGATCAGAGGCTATAAATAGTAAATGAAACTTCTTCTCACATCTCATATCTACTTACACAGAATACATACAGTCTGTTATCTTAACACACATTTAGTTTAACACTACATATCTCATATACAGTAAAGTGAATACCTACTTCAAACATTGTTAACATGATTGGATGATTTGTTCAGTATACCGGTAACCGAAGAAACATGTACCTGTTTATATTCGATAATTTTGATGTTTGATTATATTTGATTGAAAAAGTTTGGATCAGGTTGCTAAGCGAAACGTTTGATTTACTTTAAATTCATTTGCTGAGATTTTACAAATACATTCTTCCTCTTGAATGTCATATCTTCTATGTCTAATGTTTTTTTTATTACAACTAATAATCTTACTACTTCTACTACTCTGAAATTTATCTTGATTGTTTCATCTCGTCGATGATATATCCCGACGAGAATAATGAGTGGTAACTGTTGGGATCCATTCATGGACTAATACTATACATATGTTTTTATTGTGTAAATGTTAAGTAACTAAACTATGCATATTCATGTTTCTCTTATCATAAGCTTTATTTTGACCCATAGATTATTATTATGCGACTTACTATGTTTAAGTTATGCCCAGTTTATTAATTACAGTCTCCTATAATCACAGTCACTTTTGACTAGATCTTATACAAATGTTATTTTCTATTTATGGTGTGATGTGGTCTGTTTGGCTTGTATATAAACCCAGTATGTTTGAAATACATGATTCATATCATAGAAGCTGAGATTTGTGTTCTGGAATCAACAGATAGGCAGGGCTAGTCAGGAAGAAGGGCCGATAAGGAATCTAGACTGCTCGTAAGGGTGTATGCATTATTGGTCCGGTTAATAAGTCACTGTTATCTAATTGACGGTATCATTACATTATATGTTAATAGGGCACAAGGCTAGAAATAATAACAATGGACTTTTACAAATACCCTGTAGGACTTGTATTTACTTTTTATTATTGTAAAAAATAAAGTATATTGACTGATTATAACTGACTGAATAGAAATCTTTAATATCATTTGAAAACTTGGTATAGTAACCATGAGTGAACCAGCACGTGAAGACCAAAAAAAAATAAACAACAATCCCATGAACTCATATGAATGTATTATATGAAGTTATTTGGTGTGTACAATGAGTGATTTAATACAAAACTTTTAAGTATTTGATACAAACAGCACAAATTAACACTTTACATTATAGTAATTTTTTATGGTTTAAATTCATGAGTCAATTAAAGCTAGATCACCATAGAAAACCTGG